TGGATTTTATTAATTAATTTATGCTATCTTAAAATACATTTTTATATTATTTCATTAAAGTTTATATATTTATATTTTTTATGAATACTTACATAAAAAATTGTGAACCATTTGTATCTCTACCACGATTTGCCATTGATAATAAAAATGATTTATTATGTTTTAAAATAAAATTTTCGTCTGAAAAATATTATTACAAAAGTCACATTTATTTATATATAATAATAATAAATATATTTATAAAAATACCTGCAAATGTTCCACCATAAATTGATTCTCCTCCTGTCCCATTACCTACTGAAAAATCACCACCCTGAATCATAAAATCTTTAACTACTCTATGAAAAACAATTCCTTTATAATGTAATTGTTTGCCAGTTGTTTTTCCAAGTCCTTTTTCTCCAGTACATAGGGCACGAAAATTTTCACATGTTATTGGGCAAATATCTGCAAAGAGTTCAAATACTATGCGGCCCATTGGGAGACCACCCACTTCTATATCAAAAAATACTCTGGGATTAACAGTAACCATGGTATCTTCTTTTATATTTTCCTGAAAATATTTAAAAAAAATTAAATTTATATTTTTTATAAAACAATACAAATTATAATTTTTAATATATATATAATTAAATATTTCATAATTAAATAATCGAAAAGAAAATTAAAAATATTTCTGAAACTATTTATTAAATTTAAAAATAATATATATTAGTATGATTAAATATATTTATAAAAGAATATTGTTTTACCGTTATATTAAAAAATAAAAATATTGATGAAATTCAAAAACCGAAAATTCCGCAATAAGGTTAGATTTTTTTGCAAATTATACTTCTTTTATGTAATATACTACCTATTTTTTAAAATGTACGTAGTATTTTAATCATCTTCATGCACATTAGACTAATGTTGTTACATCAATATTATTATATCAATAAAATTTCGCTAACGTAAGTATATAATTACTCATAAGCCTAACTACCCGGTGCCATATTGTCGAATTCATACAAGTATTATTAATATTATACGTATGGCTGCCAACAAAATATATGTATTTTTTCCCTATATTATATATACGATTGATTTATCCCCGAATATATATTTATGTAATATTTTTTAACTAAATTTTATTCAATTGAAATTTATTTCTTTCTATCTTCAGATTGAATTTCTTATTGCACGTAAAGCGAAAACTAGGTCATAGTAGGTCGTATAATATTATTAATATTATGATTAGATAAATCAAGTAAATTATATATGATCTTGTAAATATTTCTAACCAATTCACACATATTGAAATATTTAAATATTAAATTTTCCTATTATTGAACATTGATTGAATTATATAGAAATAATGTATGAATGATAAAGCAATTTTTGATACCATTTAAATCCTTTAATAGGAAGGATGAGATAATCAGCTGATTTTGTAGTAAGTTAGAAAAAAGGTGAGAAAATCACAACCAACTTGTTCGTTCACACGCACAATAGTAAATGTTGGTATATGAAAAGTGATGTATGGTGAATACCATGAACAATTGTTTCACTAGGAAGATCGACAGTGCAGTATTCAATCAAATGGACCTATGATGCTAATAAGTTTGTAAATATTCAACTTTACACAAATTGTTATACTACTAATTTTTAATTAATCGTAATTGATTAAGTTATTTAAATTATTTCATAAAATAATTGGATATTTTTTAAACAGATTATAAAATTAGATTAGTTTGCAGCTTTTGAAACTTCATATGTAAATGCTCTAATATTTATTTTAGTATTTTTATTTATTTTTAGCAATTATTTTAATATTTAAAATTTATTAATATATAATTTTTAGCCTAATTTTTATAATCTATAAAATATGTAGTTTTTTTAGGTTTTTTAAGTTAAACATCTAACCATGGCTATCTGCTATAAATGTTGCAATATTGAAATATAAAGAATTAAATACAAATTAAACTTTTGTATTAAACCAATTGGAAATATATAAAGTAAATACTAAAATATTTTAAAATATAAAGTTTTTATATATATATCATACTATCAAAGATCAAAATAATTCAAATATATATAACATAAATATGATTTGCAGGTGCATGGACCACATAAAATTAAACAAATATAATGCAGTCTCAATTAGCAGCAACACCACGAAAATTACCAGTTTTTGTATTTCCACAAAATATCACTTTCTTTTTAGACGATCAATCTACTCATAAACAAGTTTTAACTTTATATAACCCATATGATTTTCCAATAAGATTTAAAGGTATGTATTATGAAAAAATTAATAGCTAAATAAAAATTTTAATATAATTTATTATAATTATAGTATTATGCACTGCACCAAATAAATATAAAGTTGTTGAACCAGAAGGAACAATAAATCCAAGATGTTGTATTGATATTGTTGTAAGACATACATCTCTTATATCTAGTAATTGTAATGTTGTTGATAAATTTAGAATACAAATGCAAGAACATCCATCGAAATTGGTAATTAAACATAATTTTAACATAAATAAAATTCATTGAAATAATATAATTTAATACTTTTGGAAAATTAACAGGCTATAGGAAAAAGAGATGTTGAAGCTAAATTACTTCCGGGAACAACAGAAACAACTGGAAGATCTACACCAGATCCTGAAATGTTTCAACAACTTCCAATAAATGAAAATAGACAGCAACAATCTTATGCTCTTATAGCTCAAAATAAAGCAATTGATAGTAAGTTTTAAACATCATTTATAATTATTAGTAAAAAAATATTGTATTTTATGAGATATCATAATAATATGATAGATTTATCTGAATGGCAAAATCATTATTTATAATTACAGAATACACATCAAAATCAATAAAGTTACAATATGATTTATTTCATGGAAATATTCAAAATAAGAATACAAAAATGTACCTGTCATCAGATATGAAGTATGCTATGGATAAAGGTTAATAAGTTAGTATTTAAAATTAGTTTTTGGATTTAAATACTATATAATATTTAATGTCACTTAATTTGAAATCATATAGTACTTCATATTTTTAATGCCATTCAATTTCATTTATATTTTTATATATTTTTATATTATATGATAAAAATATTTAAATATATAATAAATATATTTTTATCATATTTTAATAATTAAAATTTATTTGCATAAGCAAAATATAAAATATCATTTTTAAGAATCATTTATTAAGAAGCAAATATAGTAAACAGTAACAAATAAATCATAAAAAAAGTAAAATATTTCAAATAAATAATTAATAATTATTTTATGTAAAATTTAAAATAATACATAAAATAAATTTAAATTTTAGGAGGAACAAATTATGTAGCACTAATTGCTGGAATCATTTGTATAGTTGGATTACTTTTACCTACAGAAGGAGAACAGAATAATAGAGTGCCTGATTATCTTCATCTCTCCATAAACTTTAAATTAATATTTTCATTTGTATTAGGTAAGTATATTATTTACATTTTATTTAAAAAAAAAACATATGAACAGAATCTTTTCATTTATTACAGGTATGGTCACAATTATTATTTTAAGGTTGTAATTTTTTGTCTTTATACATATAAAAAAACTTTATACAATGATTAGAATCATGAAATAAAAGCACAATTAATGATAGGTTTTTTTTTTGGCATTGAGCCTTTTTTTTGTTACTGAATATATTCCGATTCTAGTCTTAAATAATAAGCTGTCATTATATTGTGACTAAAAATATTTATTAAATCTTTTATTCTTTTAATGATGCTAAATATTCTTGTTCAAGTTTGTGCTTCATTGCCTTATGTATGCATAAAACAAATTTGTACATATATTCAAATTTTAACGAAAAATTATAGCCTTTTTACATATTTCAAATTAAAATATAAAAATATATTAATATTTATATCAAAATCTACATTTCGATTAAAGTGCTTTGTTTATAAAAGCATTATGTACAAAAACATCATTAATAATTAATAATTATGCACATATTCTTAAAAAAATATGATTTCGTATAAAAATGTATAAATATCCTATGATGTATATCCTATGAATATCCTTAAAATGAGCTCCAAATCTAAAGTATTCTTAAATAAAAATATTTAACATATAAAATGATTGTTTATGGTGTTATAATATAATTATAATATAATCCAATTATCCAATTATATAGTAAAAAATCTAATTATGAATGTTTATCATATTTTGGAAATAAGATTATTTTTTTATTAACATATATTTATTATTTACATAAGTTACAATGGGATACTTGTGAATTAAATGTGTTATCCAATAAGATGACCATTTAAATTCTGTAGTTGTAAAATATTTTCTCTCCTAAATATCTTCTCACAAGTATCAATTGGCTAGATATAGAAGTACACAAGTATTTATAAATATAAATCTTTTCTTTTATAATAATTTAATATAATTTACCTGAAAATCCATAAAGAATTCAAATCTTTGAGTTGACATCACAAAATTTTAGAGCCGATGAACATTCTTTAAACTTTCATTATGAGTTTTGTATTCCATTGAGGCACTTGCTGGAAGATGTAAAACTCTCCTTAATGTATCTCTAATACGTGCTGTTGTTGCATAATCAGATGCAGTCTTATTCCATACACATATTATATCCTCCTATTAAGATAATAAATATTTAGTAAAAGCTCTCTATATATATACATATATATATGAATTATTTTAAAAAAATAAAAATTATCTTACTTGAAACCTTATAGATACAACAGCTCCACATATCTCTTCTCCAACCATAAATTGTTCTCCTAACATAGCTAATATAAGATTTTCCCAACATCTAGAAACTAAACCTTTTCTTAATCGTACTATCCATTTACCACCTTTTTGATTTGCCTCATCCTAAAAAAAAATAATTTACTATAGTAGAATTACTTAAAAAAAATATATTTAATCCAAAGGATATTAAAACATACTTCCCACATTGGTTTTATGCCAACTTTGAAAAGATGAAAATCTGTAGATGTTGTTAATTCTGATGGCCGGACTAAATGACTGTAAAGACTCCAAAACTGCTCCACACTTGCAAACCTACCAACCAATTTTAAATTTTGGTCGTAACTTTGTATACTTGGTTGTTTACCAGGACTGCGTCGACTATACCATAATGCATATGCATATTGTAATTTGTGCTCATTTGGATTAATTTCTATAGGAGGCTATAATAAATATGTGCTATTTAATTGAAAATGTTGATAAAATAATAAGAAAGCAATACTTTCTACATACTAGTGAATCTTTCTCAGTTTTTTGATTATCTTTTGACTGTGTTTCATCATCTCCATTGTCTTCATTAGCCTTTAACCTGCAAGTACTACTATAATTTACAACAAGATGAAAGTGTAAATTATTAAATTATTTTTAATTTTTCATGTAATTTTTATTTAAAAAGATTGTTACAAATTTTATTTATTTCATACTTTTAAATAGTAACATATGAGCATTGATTTTACACAGTCACATGCAAAAGAATAAGTTTGATTATTATTTAGTAATTATTTGAAATGTCAAAAATAAAAAATAAAAATAACAATCGAAAATTTAATATACAAAGATGTATATGATATGTATTTAAATTCTGACAAATGTCAAGACATACATATCACGTGTTTTGTTATTTGGAACTAGTAAGATAATACTTTGCATAAGCTAATAATTAACATATTAAATATATATAAAAAAGAAAGCACGTGTTGAATATTAAACAAGAGAGTATATCAGTGAATTTTGATTTCTATTCAAAACAAATCTAACCTCCATCTAGCCCATTCAAAAGGCACGATGAAATAAAATAAAACGCTAGTTTCACTTACGCTTCGAATTTATTCGACATATTTCACGCTGCAATATGAATCTATTAATTAATTACTATGAATTATATACTTTAATAAATATAAATAAAAATAGAAAGACTTTTTAATTTCTGTTTCCTTTTCACACGTTCTCATGTGTATGTTTTTGATAAATTGTTGATCTCCTTCTCTATATTCTTTTTTGCCATTTTATCAGAAATTTTACATTTTGATGTTGGTCATACTAAAGGTAGATAAATAAATTAATAGCGGGATATATAAAATATACAAAAATGTTTCTAAAATATACAATTATATTTAATACAAAATGTTTTTTACAAAAATGATATCATTTTTTCAGAAAAAAATCATCATATATCATATATCATTATCATATATCATGAATTTAAGAACAAAAATATGAATAATAATTTTTCATTCTTTTTAAACCAAAAGAAATCTAGATTATTAATATTAATCATTAATTTTATTCTCTGAAAATCTTAATTTCAATCTTTTCATAATTTCTTCTCGTTGATACATAATTTCTTTATAGCATAATGGTGAAAATAGAATTGGACATTCATATTGTATAGTTTCGATACACTTCGTATCTGCAATTCCATCTCGGTCGAATCTAAATTGTGAAATAGATTCCACTGAAATGAAAATCAAAATTTAAAATAAAAATCATTTAAAATTTTGCATTTTATAATTTTGTAAAAAATTTGTTTTTTCCCAACAAAAATATCCACTCACAGCATCCAAATTTGGAAAAAAAACATGTTTGATGTTTCGAAGTAATCAAATAACCATTATTATCTTCACGTATAGCGTAATGTCCATATGCTGTATTTCGAATAATTGGTATATAACTTAAATGTTCAGTATATTTAACTGAATATTTCCAATGATCATAATTACCACTTTCCGCAATAATATTAAAATCTTCTCTGTAAATATTAATAAAAATAAAAAATAGAAAAGGAAAGAACAAAATAGCAATATATATAAAAGTCAAGCATTTATAATTTTACATACATTGTTGGATTTAATTTTTTCATGTTACTAAAATCTGCTACAAATTCCCATATATGTATAGGATTTGAATTTTTTATTATTCCTTCAAACAGTATATGATGCTTTTTTTTATATACAAAAAATATATAAAAAATCAAAAGTATTAAACTAGTATACAATACGTTTCTGGTTTTCCATTTCATTGGATTGATACTCATTTCTAAATAAAATTTTGCTACATAATATTTATTTTATAAAATATTTTTTATATAAATAGAAGTAAAAATACATGTTTATTATATACTAATCTCAACACATGAAATGAATAAAAAATCTCATGTTGCATATTTTTTTTAAAAATCACAAAATAAAATATTCACTTACTTGTATCGAATATTTGAATTGAAAGAAAAGTAATTTTTTTTATTCTATATTATTTATATAGCAGACTAATTATAACAGACTTGTTATAATTTCAACAAATTATATATGTATATTTAATTATATTTTTTAATATAATACGAAATAATTTATATGTGATATTATAAACTTCCGCTGATTAGATAAAAAAGTAATACTGCTTTGTATCAAAAAAAGAATGAACTATATATATATTACTTTACGTTTCGCTACGAAACGTTCCATTTCCCTCCGTTCTTTTAGCTTGAACTACAATACTATCCGTCATTTAAGTTTATACATATACAATCCCCACTACATTCTGGTTCTTTAGATCCATTTCTTCCTAAATTATGTACATATGTAAGTATACATTTCACAAGTAACTAACTATACAAAAATCACGTGACTAATGGCGCCAAATGAAGCATAACATTTTAAAATATAATAAAGAAAAATTATATATATATAAGACTATTATATTTAATCTGTGTTATAGATACAAATTATAAATGATATTTGTTAATAATATAGTTTTTATAAAGAAACAAAAGTTTTTATAAAAAAGTGAAATTATCTCAGGAATTCATTATATACTTATAATTATATATTTTACAAGAAATAGTATAAACTAACTGCAAATGCAGTTATATTTTTTGTAAGTAAAAATTTAATCAAGATGACATTCTCATTTTTAAATTTCTAAATTTATATATATTATAATTTATATATATAAAGTACACATTTTAATTTTATATTTTTTAATATAATATATAAATGTATATTTTTTAAGCATAGATAATGATGTAAAAAATACTCTGATTTTTTTTTTGAAATTGTTTTATATCTATTTCAGAGAAATTAGTATTTATTATAACAAAGTCTTATAATATCAATATTTATTAATATTTTTTGTTGATAATTGAATATAAAAAATTTCAATATTTTTCAAAGAGAGGGTACTACTAATCAAAAACTATTAACAAATTCATTTTGCAGTCGATAACAATATGTGACAAGTTTCAGCACTTTTCAGAGATGACACTAGTTAAGTGTTAAAAAAAAAGGTAATGGTATTTTTATATGTATATATTTCATATATATTCTTGTATTGTATTTTATATAATATTTTTATAATCATAGAAATAAAATTTAATTATTTAAAAATTAATCAAAAAAACCAGAAATTATTTGTTGAATATCTATATATAATTACTGATCAAATAAATTTATAAATTTTAGGAGATAGTTATGTGCATACGTCAGAAAATAATCACATAATTATACAAAAGTGTCGAAAGCAGAAAATTATGGCATTTTTAAGCAGTACCTGTTTATCAATAAGTTTATGTACTCTGTTATTTTATACAACTATAGCTTTTAATAAATATTCCATAGAGGCAAATAAACCAAAATATGAAGATCCTTTACAATTTCCAACCTCTCTCCGTGAGTTAGATAAACCATTTCGCATGGCAAAGTTAAATATATTATGGATAAAAGCAAAAAATGTAAATATTAATCTATTATAAAAATATATAAAATTATATATAAAAAAATTTATATAAATTATATAAAAAATATATAGAAATTAATTTTTTTATAGCGTTTGACAGATACAAAATTGCAATCAATATTTAGTGATCTGAAAATCCATGATAAAGAAGAAATTGCATATAAGCATTTTAAGTCTGATGGCAAAGATCCAAATGGTGAAGAAGAAGCACGATTAAGAAAAAAGCTAATTGGTAATTTGAAATATGAAAAACAATTTTAAAATATACAAAATATTTTTTTTTAAATATTTTTTTTTTTATATTATTGAAGGAATTATGAGTACTTATGGATTATTAGAACACTTTGATGATACAGAAAATCCAGAATTACTGAAAAAACATAAAGCTTTAAATGATGGTACCAATTATATTGCCAGAAATGTCTTTAAAGATAAAAGATTAGATAAATTATGGGTTAAAGCTGAAATGGCAGGTTTTACTCGTAAGTATTTTGCAAAATTACTTACATATTTAATTTATATTTTTAATTGTTCTTAATAAATATAATCAATAGATGAAGAACTTCAAACTTTAAAGGAAGAATTTCAACATCACCAGGATAAAGTGGATGAATATATGAATCTTTTAAAAGATATAGAAACTGGTGATTCAGAAATACATAAAAGTTAGTTATTTCATCATTAAATTATATAATAATATTATATAATAAATAATTTGAAATAAAATATAATAAGTTTTATATCTTTTATTTTACAGATAGTTTATATCATAAACCAGAAACTTGGAATGAAATAGAACAAGAAGAGGAAATATCCAATAATGTTCCTGAAAAAAAGCTAGATTACTTAGAAAAAGCAACATTACTTAGGTACACATATATATACATACATAATTGAAGTTGATTTGTGTTTTAAAAACTTTTATTTATATAAAATTTCAGAGAAAAACATTTGGAACTTAGAAATGGATATGATCGATTGGATAGATTAACTGCAAAAGGACCAAATCATAAAGAATTCATAGAACCTAAAGTGCAAGGTTTATGGCGTATTGTATTAGAATCTCAATTCTCTCCAGAAGAACGAGCTTCATTAAAAGTTAATATACATATATATATAATTATAATTATATATATTAAATATATATAATATAATATATATAATATATATAAATATATAATATATAATATATATAATATAAATATAAATAATTATATTTTTGTTTGAAATATTGATATATTTGTTTGAATTTATTATTAATTAGGAAGAATTGTTACATTATGAAGGAAGGTTGCTCAAATTGCGTCATTTACACACAGAAGCTGCTTTAGAAGCTGCACGACAAGGAAAACAATATGATTTGGAGAACTCTACTATGGAACAACATATCAAAAAACATGCAAGAACTATTCAAAAACTTCATACAGATCTTGAAGCAAAAATTATGCAAAAACATTCTGAACTTTAATATAATTAATGCTTAATAAATTTGCACAAATATTATTTTTATAATAGTTTTAAAATTAAAAATATTTTTATTAGAAACATAATGAATACAAATATATGAGATTTATAAAGATCTAATTTGAAAATTATATTATTTTATATTACATTTATATGATATATTTTTAAGAAATATATATAATAAGAGAATAATATATGAATAATTTTAGATTTATAATTTTACCATGTTTATAATATAAATAAAAATTATATATTATCTAATTCATATATTGAGCTTTTTTTTTTTTTTAATTTTTTTCATTATCTATTGGTTAAACTTTAATTAATAATATGATAACATCAATGTTCATGATGTATCAATGTTGCTATGGTAATTGTTTAGAATCAAATTTATTCCATTTATTCCATAAAAGAACAGTTGCATATGATATATCGAAGTTATATATTTTTTTAAGAATATATTGATTATTATTCAATGAAGTTTGAATAAATTAAATAATACAATGGCAACACCAATAAAAGATCGTGTTATTCCTGTTATGGATACTTTGGTTAAATATGACAATCCAGTCCTACTTACCACTTATCCAGAAAAGGTTTGATCTTTATTAATAAAATAATTGTATACATAATTAAAATTTTAACTTCTTATTAGTTATTAAAGTACTTTTATTAAACAGGTAGTAAAAGAAGTACCAAAAATTGGAGAAGTAGTTTGTAAAGTTGAAACCACTGTTCCTACTCTTGATACAAGACATGAAACTTCTGAAATTTTAAATAAAATTTTGCCACCTAAGCAATGGGAAGAAGATGGTCAAATTTGGACTCAACAAGTAAGATATTTTTGCGTTTATTAAATAATTTTATTAAATAATTATATTAAATAATTTACTATGATTTTTAATAAATGCATTATTTTATATAAGGTGTCAAGTACACCAGCAACAAGATTAGATGTTATTAATTTACAAGAACATCTAGATATGAAATTGCAACAAAGACAAGCAAGAGAAACTGGTATTTGTCCAATACGTAGAGAGCTTTATACACAATGTTTTGGTAAAAGTTTTTTCTATCAATAATTATTAATTTTAAATATCATTAAAATATCATTAAAATTAGAATTATGTAATAATATTATTTTGCAGATGAAGTAATACGTCAAGTTACGATAAATTGTGCAGAACGTGGATTACTTTTACTTAGAATTCGAGATGAACTTAAGATGACATTAGCCGCATTTCAAACTTTATACCAAAGTAGTATTGCTTTCGGTATGCGTAAAGCTCTTCAAGTATGTTATATTTTTTTAATGTATAAAATGATATACATTAAAAAATGTTAAAACTTCAATAAAATTTTTGCAGGCTGAACAAGGAAAGGAAGATTTAATTGCTGCTGCAGATGAATTACAGTTACAGAAAATTGAATTAGAAAAAACAGTTGTTGAATTAAAACAGAAATTTGAACAAGCAGAAAGGAGAGCTGCTGAACTACGAGAAGCTGAAGAGAAAAAACATATGGAAGAAATACAATTTTTGAGAAAAACAAATCAACAACTAAAGGTAAATATTTACATATAATTTTCATATTTATTTTAGATAAATGTAAAAACTTCATTAATCGCATTATTTTTATTTCAGACGCAATTAGAGGGAATTATTGCACCAAAACGATAAAATAAATATAAATGATAAAATATATGATAATAAAAGGTATTCATCTTTATATATATTTTAATTTTATTTATTTTAATTCAATATAATAAAATCAATATAAAAGATAAAATATGTTATTTCTTTTCCTGTTTCATGATTATCTTTCATTTACATATATTATGTATTTATAAATTTATTGAACATTGTAAAAATTGTATAAATATTATATTAATAGAAAATAGATATAGTTTAGATAAATAAATATTTATGTTTTGATATGTTAACTTTATATAGTCTTACAAATATTAATTACATGAAATGTTTTTTATTTTATTTTTATATTAAATACATTTTAATTTACTTACATAAATTAGATTTATTATTTAATATAATCAAATATATTATCCTTATCAAAATATAAAATATACGTAATAGAACATAATATTTTCTTTTTATAATTATTTAAAATTATTATAAGACTGGATATAAAGTTTTAAAAAATCCATACACATTATATCTATTATTTGATTTAACATCGATGTAAAGTACTTCTAAACATAAACTTCTAAACATAAAAGTTTCCAATTCATTTTTTATAAAAAATTGTGACTTGATAATTTGTTATAAATAATATATATTAAAGAATGATAGTATACATTTTTTATAATTCATAAAGAATTTTTATAAAATATTATAAAATAATATTATTAATAATATAATTATAAAACAGTTCCAACTTTTGTTATATATTTAAAAAAATATTTTTAAAAATTATAATATTTATAAATATATGATAAATATTGGCACTTTATAATTATATATAATTTTGAAAATGCCACATTAATTATATTACTTCATAATAAATATCAAATTTTTTTATAATTTTATAAGACAAAAATGTTTTTTTTTTTTAGGTCAATTTTCTTAATAATTTAATAAATTGGTCCCGTACTCCTTTAATCGCACTTTACACCGCAGTTAATAGTAATGCTCAATTAATGTTTACTTATATTACATTTTTAATTTTACATATATCTTAATATTAATAATATGGTCTGTTCATTAAATACTTTATATGATCTATATAAAATGATATTATTATATTTAAAATGATTTATCTTATTATTGTAAATATATCAAGAATAAAAAAAATATTAGATCTGAAATGAAAGTAATTAAATTATCATTTTTTATTTTTCAAATTTATATATTGCAATTTCAATTTAGACATTTTGAAATAAATGAGATTACAAATAACAAAGATTATAATTAGTTTCTATTGTATCAAATAATATAAGTATTCATTTCTTTATTTTTATTATATAAATAAATATTGTAAAAATTTGTAAATGCAAATTATATTTTATTATAATTTCGTGATATATATTAAAAAATATTATTATTTAAATAATATTATTATTAAAGAAATAATATATATTTCATATATTTTGTTTCTTAGTAATTATTATTTTTATCTATATTTGTTATATATTGCCTTTTTTATAAATATTTAAATATTTAATTTTCTGCTTACAAAATTATATAATTCATATATTGTAAATTAAAATATACTAATAAAAAATATAATTAAAATAAATACATTAAATGAAAACAAGCTTATAAATACATATAGAAAAAAATTTTAAACAAAAAATTTAATACTTATTCTTTCTTATATTAGTGGCAACTTTGATATTAAAATGAAATAAAAGAACTTTAAACAAATTTCTTTCTAAAGATGAAAATTAAAAAACAATTGATATTTAACAATTAATTTAAATATATATATGTATACTTTTAGTTTAGAATGAATCTTAAAATAAAACAGTTTTACATTACATATATATTAATTTACTTATTTCTAAAAAAAAAAAAAAAAAAAAAAAAAA